ACTTCAACCAAAAATCAACGATTCTAACTATTTTTCAACGTTGATTTAACATCATGTGCTATCTGGGTAATAATCCCCTTGTTCCCCAAGTAAAGGGAACAAGAGGTTAACCCTACTAAAATTAAAAACAGATAAGGTATAATTATCAGGGTTACAGTTAGGGTGCTATATTTAGGACATTGAACTGAAACTTGATATACTCATTTGACAATTTCATTACCCTCTATTGGTTATTTATTGGTCATCATACTGGCACATGTTTACAGAAATGGATGGACAACTAGCAAACTGTTTAACCACAAACTCTTGCCTTAAAGTATACTCTTGTTTAAAGCAGCAAAAAGCTAAGGGACAAGTTTCCCGCAAGCAGCTTCAGAGCCATGGGGTCACAGACCCCCCATTACTGGAACGTAAACCACTCTCTTAGCAAACGAGAGTTGCTACAGCTTTTCTCGCGATACTTCGTTTAGTGTTCGCGGAACAGTATGGCAGCCGTGTCGCTGAGGTCCTGTAGCAGAGGACTTTCACTAATGTTGCGAAATGCAAGGGTCGCAGCTCTGCCTTCACAACACCTGCAAGGTTTGTGCGATTCCTTTCTACTTTTAGTATTAAATTTACAACGCTCAAACGTCCGTCAAGTTGAATAAATAAACAAGAGGGGGTGTGGCGATTGTGACGTCCTTAAAAATGTAGGGAATGTGAACTAAAGGCGTGTAATATACCTTCCAACCGTAATCACTGCTATTCTTCATTCTTATACCAGCATTTAACGTAATCTGAAATTATTATAGTGTTTTTGAACATGCTGTGCATTAATTAGCTTCGACTGGGCGTGATAACGTGCTGAAATGCTGCCATGCTTTAACTAATTTTCATAAAATGTCGGCCAGTTTACGCTTTATCCAACATAGTTTCGTCTTTATGCCATCTTTGTTGCCCTTTGTGTTGACATTTCATTATAAATCGCACTGTTGGGTAACTAATAACCATGTGTTGTACAGCGGACAGAAGACACAAATCAACAGTTCAGTATGCATCCAGACCAGACCTTCCAAAGCTAGCTTACAGAAGGGTGAAGGGCAAGAGCCCAGGAGTGGTGTTTCTGCCAGGCTATGGCTCCAACATGAATGGCCAGAAAGCCGAGGCTCTGGAAGAGTTCTGCAGGTCGTTAGGGCACTCATACCTCAGGTAAGTCACCCAAACCCATCACAGAAGACTGCAGGTAGACTGCTGAACAGATCTGAACAAAATACATCTGGCACGCTCTCGGATTGAGCACCGCATAATTGCTTTTACAACATTTACTTTTGAACACTTCTGTGTAAAGGTTTTCTGGCCACAATTCACAAGGAGGAGATCCCTTAGAACAGGGGTGCCCAAAGTGGGTCCTCGAGGGCCAGCATCCTGCATGTTTTAGTTCGCTCCCTGGTTTAATGCACCTGGATCAAATGATGGCTGGTTAGAAGGCCTAAGAGGAACATTGACGAGCTGAAAAGGTTCTTACTACCACCAGGGAGAGAACTAAAACCTGCAGGATGCCGGCCCTGGTGGACCGACTTTTGGGCACACCTGCCTTAGAAGATCCAGAACTTGCTGGAGGGACTATACACCCCTTTTGACTTGGGGATGTCTTCCACATTAAATTAGAAGTTGTTATTGAGGAAAAGTGTGTTTCGTCTCCACTGGTCATAGGGCAAGAGACGGGGTGCACACTGGACAGGCTGCCGGTCCATGGCAGGGAAATTAGAGATGTATAGGAAAGACAACCATGAACTAAGAACAATAAAGAGAGATCAGTTAACCTAACAGTCACTATGTTATGGACTTTGGGAGGATTCAGAGTACCCAGGAAGAACCCAAGCATGCACAGAGAGCATGCACAAAGACATCAGACCTGAAGTATCTTCTTGCTACAATGCAAAAATGCTACCAAATGCAATACAAGTACTTTTGTGATGAACTATGAGTATGCTGATTCATTCTTTTTTCCATTACCTTGCCTAACAGTCATATGCCGTTTGCCTGGCTTGCCTTGTGTGCTTTCTACATGTCCAATCATGGCCAAAAGCTTTGCCAGTGACACACATTCGGTATTGTTTTTAACAGCTTTACAGTCATATGTCTTTGTTAACACAGAGGGAAAAAAATACTATTTATGTAAATATGTAACATTTATTTGAAGAATTAATATTTAGCATTGAGCCTTCTTCTGAAATTCACTTTGACATGCTAAAATTCTAATGAGTTCAGTTCTTGGGCTTGATCACAATTTGTTTGTTTCTGAAATGCGCATGGCTTCTCACAGGCAGACCTGGGAAGTTTCTTCTTCTAGTTGTTCTCAGAGGATCTGATCACAAATAGGAGGTATTAGGAAAAAAACTGTCCATCTATGCATGGTTCGCCATGATCTTACCGTTTACTTCTCACAGGCATCTCTTGTTCTGCTTCTGTTCTTTCAGGTTTGACTACACGGGACACGGTGCTTCAGAGGGAGCGCTAGCTGACGGAACAGTTGGTATCTGGAAAAAAGATGTTCTTTATGTGTTAGATGAGTTAACAGAGGGACCGCAGGTACATATTGTTCATCCTTTGATTTTTGTTTTGTTTTGTTTTGTTTCGGTTTTTTCTTTTGGACAATTTAAGCAACATGTAGCTTCATATGTTTTGTTTGACTCTTGACAAAAACAATATAGTAAGGATCTCAAACAGATGTAGACTCATAAAGGAAAACCCTTCTGTCATCTAACTCTAGGTTACATCTCAACACAAATATGTTTCAAATTGTAAACTTTTCAGCTTACCCCTTAAATGGAAACTGTATTTTTAAGTTGGAAAATGGGGATTATTGGTTTGAAAGAGCTCCTGAAAGCAAGGGAAAACATAAAAAACACACATAAAAGGAGGTGAAATCTAGTAAAAATCCTCACTCCTCTTGAACTTTACCTAATTTTGCCTTCTTATAACCACTAACAATGTTTTTGGGGGAAGATTCTGTGTCATAGTCTGAAAAAGCTAGTGAGATCTTTCTAAAAAAAAAATCTTTTGTTGGTTTTACCACATCTCCAGAAGATGGCGCTGTTTGGTCATATATGGAATTAGGATTCTGTCACCATTGGCTTCTGTTTGTCTTCTTTGCCTAATTTATTTACTTTTACTTTGTGTTTTCAGATGCTTTTTTTTCTCATGTAACTAATTTTGTGGTGTTTTTGTTTCTTCTTTCCAGATCCTGGTGGGATCCAGTTTGGGCGGTTGGCTCATGCTGCTGGCCGCCATCGCAAGACCAGAGAAAACCGCTGCACTGGTCGGCATCGCTTCTGCTGCTGACCACTTTGTCACGGCGTTCAACTCTCTTCCATTAGAGGTGAGACCATGTTGGATCACGCTGTACGTCAGCTGAGTTTCACAATCAGTTTTTTTTTTTTCTTTCTTTTAACATTTTGTGTGATCTCCATATTTAAAACCCACAGACTCGCAAGGAGCTAGAGGCCAAAGGCGAGTGGTCACTGCCCAGCAAGCACACAGAGGAAGGTTTGTACAAGTTCAGCATGGACTTCTTGCGTGAGGCGGAAAACCACTGTGTCCTTCAGAGCCCCCTCCCCATCACCTGCCCCGTACGGCTCATTCACGGCCTCAAAGACGAGGACGTGCCCTGGCACATCTCCATGCAGGTTGCGGAGCGCGTCCTCAGCCCCGACGTGGACATCATTCTGAGGCGGAACGGCCAGCACCGCATGTCCGAGAAGGAAGACATCAAGCTCATGGTCTACACTATTGACGATCTGATAGACAAGCTGACCACCATGGTCTGAAGAAGGGAGAGAGGAGATGTTCAGGATATGACTGCTAACTGGGAAGTCTGCCCGCAAGGAAAAATAACCAAACAACGGCATGTTGCTCTGCCAAACGTCACCTCTGATGCATCAGTTGTTTTTCTTTTGTCCTGTTTTTGTCTGTCATCACTAACATCTCATTATGTTGCAAATGGTAATGAACCCTAAAATTTTCAGGTTGCATTTGTATGTTTCTGGTTGTTGTATTGAGAATTATGATTAGCCGTCTTTGTTGTCATTCTTACTGTTACACTGTTTCCCCTCTATCTCCTAGCATACACAGTTTTCCTGTGCCTTTATACCCAGTTTTCACCTATTTTTCGCCAATAAAACCTCTGCACACCAGAGTGCAGGTTGTAAGTTTCTGAGAGTCGACGACAGCAGAGTAAACATTATCATTTACAGAGGGAACATTTTACAAACTTTGACCTCTATTGTAGAAATAATAAAGGGAATATTCTCTTAGTTGTATATTTTGAATACTACACCAAGAACGTGTTTCTACTAGGTCTAAAATTTTAAACTAGATGAACAAGAATTTCTGACCAATTACAGCTTGATGGTGTTAAACAGCATAAATGCAGGTAAAGAAGAGGATCCAAACTTGTTAAGCTATGGTTTGTTTTTCTCATGAAACTATAGATAACTTTGTTTTTGTTTTTTTTTACATGCAAACTGAGCCTTATAGAGTCTGACATTAACAATGCAGGTTGGAAGTTTACATACATTCATCAGTGGCATGAATGTCATTAATCTGGAGATGTTGGAGATGCATAATGTTGCATATGATACACATGCTTAAATGTATGCACCTACCCCCATTAATATTAGTTGAATATAAACATTTATTTGCAGAAATAGCAGAACTCTTTAAAATTATTGGTATATCATCGTGAACCTGGCTTCTAGCTGTAGTTTATAACTTTCTTCGGAAGGTTTGGCTACACTCTGCTACATCCATTTCAACACTAGTTCTGGTTCAGGTTTTGAGTCATTGTCCAGTTGGAAAACTAAGTTATGTTCAAATAGCCATGGTGGAGTAGATTTGAAATTGAGCTTAAAAAGTGAAAGTAGTCCTCCACTCCATTACTCCTTTCATTTTGTGCAGCATACCAGCTCCACTGACGGTAAAACATGAACATGACACTTCCACCGCCATGCTTGACACTTGGTACAGTGTTTCTGACTTTAAAACCTCACCTTGACTCCTCCAAACGTTGTTGTTGTTGCAGCAAAGTAGCTCAATCTTTGACTCTGCTGACAGTAAAACATTGTCTTCCTTTCTTGTTTGACACTTTCTCAGTGTCTGTAGATGTAAAGTTCACTACGTCCTGGAAAGTTAAGATAGGCATGACCTTTGTGGCTCCCGGACATTAAGATCAATTTCTTTTTATCAGAGAGTGACAGTTTGGTTCAGATGCGGGAAACGTGGAGAAGTGTTTCCACATGATGATAATCCTAAACTAGGCTGATATTAAGAAAATCAATCTTTGCATAGATTAACCTTAGTGTTTATTTCCGAGAACATCAGCTCCTAAGACGATTATCAGATGTCAATGTTTCCTGCACTTGCTGTCAGATGATAGTTTATCATGTGATGCACAAATATTGGCTCTTCAGTCTCATTTAAAATATTGCAGAAGCAGCACAAATGAAGTTGCGGCAATCATTTTGGATTAGTTATGTTTCAGATTTCACATGGACTTTTTGATCTCAGTTGTATTTCATATGACCAGTGTGTTTTTTTTTATTACTTCATCCGATGAGAAATGAAACAGAATTTTTAGAAATCTTATACAGTTACTGGAGAAACACAATAAAAACTGACGGGATCTCACCTCAAAAGAGTGTTACTGCAAAACAACTAAATCAGGACATTTTGCCTCATTTACATCATCACTGAACAATAACATAAAGTGCAAAGCATTTATCCTAGCAGCCCTGTGAATCTTGGCTCTGAGCTTTTACTATTTGTGATTTTCTGTTCACAGGTTTTATTTTTTTTTTCTCCACATCCTTCTGAAGCCTGCTGTCCTTTAGTCATTGAACGGAGCAGCTGAACAGTTGATTATTAACATGTAATTGTCCACTAGCTGCTCTGTGTTTAATGGGGCAAATCAACCACTTTCTCTCAGCTCCTCTCAACTGCACCGCTGACCTTTAAGTTATGACTGAACTCTGTAGTCGGTCATTTTTTATGCTTATGTCTAAATGTCATTTTACAGATGGAAGCTAAGGGAAAGGATGAGAGTGTTTTTGGGAAGAAGCTACTGTGCCATCCTCATGTACTGGAACTCCTGGTGAGGATGTGTAAATTCTTTAAAATAAAAAAATATATATATTATACTGACGCAGCATATTAAACAAACATCCCATGATAAGAAATAACTATTTTACAAAAACACTTATCAAACTTTTTTTTTTTTTTTTTTTTTTTACATTGCTCTTAATTTTTTTTAGGAACTTCTAATTAGTAATCTTTAACACTGTTCGCAAAAACTTATTAGTTTTAACCACTTTAACTGGGTTGAATGAGGATCAAGGCTTGTCTTGCCTCTGTGATGAGGATGCTAAGGGGAGTAAAAACGTCCACAAAGCTCAGAATTAAAGAACTCAGCAAAGAGGGGCATCCTGGAGTCAGATTTCCATAACAACCATAAGGAGTTGTCATGCCAACCAGTTGTTTGTGGTTGGAAGAAGATGGCTTCTCTCCTGCCATCACAAGGAGTTCGCCAAACTCTCCTGGTACTGTGCTTTGAACTGTGTGCTTTGGTCACTTAAGATAAACACTCCATTTTAGTTCAGAGTCAAAAAAAAAAAAAATGAATATTTTAGAAAAAGATGCTACAGCTTCTGTTGACTATGGTGGTGGATGCTGTGATGCTGTGGGCCTGTTGTTGAGTGCAGACATCAGGACGTCTTTGAAGTATCAGGACATTCAAAGAAAAAGGTCTGGTAGAACTACAACAGATCATCATTAGATCTTTCAGTGGGACAAGAATCCAAAACTACATGATAAAACTGACACAAGGTTGTGGAAAAGAGAAGCCAGAGCTCTGAACAACTTAGAGATTGTTCAACAGAAGTAGTCAAAATCTCTCTCTATGCTCTGATTAAGTGAAATGTTATAAGGCGTGGCGTGGGTGTGCAATCTGCGGCTCTGGAGGTCCTCCACATCGGCTCTTACAAACAACTTTTTTACCGTGATACTTTTTTTGTATCATTCTTTCCTTCCTGCCTTTCTTCGTACTCTGAAAGGTTTGAACTTTTTATTTTTTTTACATTAAAAAATGAGTTCAGAGAGTTTTTCAGTTTACCGTAATAAAAAAAAATTTCTTTCAATTATTATTATTATTATTATTATTATTATTATTATTATTATTATTATTATTATTATTATTATTATTTATTTTTTTTTTTTTTACCAGTTGTGCAAAATAAATGTGAGCGAGGAGCCAGTGATCAAATCACTGAACTGAATTTAGCTGACTCTGAGGATAAGATCATTTTGTGGGTGTTGTTTTGGACACAGAGCTGATCAGTATTGGCTTGCTGACAATTGATTTGACGCATTCATGTGGCCTTGCTTGCTGAGGGGCAGAGGGGTGGAGGGGGTCACTTTGCACACAGCTGAGCAGGCACTAACACACTGACCGCCATCCGGGACAGAGGAGTCACGTCGCATTCCGCTGCTGAGCGTCCGCAGGGACCCCTCCACCCCTCGACCCCCTCTTGGTGGAGCTGGTGCATATAAAACCCAGCGAGTCGACCCCTCCCGGACAGAGTGAGGTCCAGTCTGGCCCGGAGGCGCGCTCGTCCTGCGCTTTATGGATGCTTCAGCACTTCAGCATCATCGTCCTCTGCTCTGAATAAGCTCAGTGTTGGGATACGGGACACCAGTGATCGCGCTTTCCTTTTGCAGTAAGTGACACATTTCATCCTTCAAAACTACTGACAGCGTGTTTATCACATGTGGGGCGTCATGTTTATGCAATCGATGCAATATGTCGCAGCTTTGTGTGCGCAGCAGTTTTTCTTTTTCTTTTTTTCTTCTTCTTTTAAATCAAACAGTTCGAAGAAACAACAAAAATGCGTTGCAAAGACTGAAACTGGAAGGTGAAACATTTTAGAAGAAAATCTTTTTTTTTTTTAACTTGGAAAAACTGCTCGTTTCGAAAGACGCAGAAAATACAACGTTTACGTCACAGCGGACCTGACATGATTTTGCAAAACACAGTTGCCCGCTGTGATGCGTATGATCAGCTGTGAACGTGGCTGTTCTGTGCGATTGTGAAGTTCCTGCATACATTCAGTGATTTAATTTGCGTCACTGTCCACTGTAGGTCATATGAAGCAGCATCACTGCGCCCAGCTAGCCGGAAGCAGGTTAGATTGTTGTCATAGCAATAAGAGGGCTTGTCCTCGCTCGGGACGGCAGCCAACAGACCACACCCTTCTTTTTTTCACTGCCTCCACAGATTTGCTGATTTGTGCAGCAGATTTCGTGCAAAGCATAGAAGTAAAAATATTAAATTAAAAGAATTACACGAGTGATAAAGCGTTACTTCATCACTGCAGTGATTGCTAAATTATTCACTACTTTCATTTAGTTTTATTGCAGTCATAAATTCGAGGTTTTCTGGTGGGGGTTTAAGTGATAGAACAACATAAAAAAGAGCATGAATGTGAACTCAAAGGGAAAAATATGGTTTCAGTTTAACAAAAATAAATAAAATCTAGTGCAACCAGCAGCATTTAGAATAAGAAATAGATTCTCCTGTGAGTACGAATATAGCTGTTCTGTTTTGTGGCCACCATGCTCCATCCCCATGATGAAGCATGGTGGGGTCATCATCATGCTGTGGGTATGTTTTTCTTCAATATGGAAAGGGAGGCTGGAAGATCAGAAAACCTAGGTGGGCCCCATGTGGGGAAAAGGAGGGCAAACCCATGTGGGCCACCACCATATAGGGCCCATGCAGGGCCCATGTGGGCTCTGGCCCTACATGGGCAAACCCATGTGGGGCCATCGTGGAACCCACGGACAAACCCATATGGGACCCATATATCAACCCTCCTTTCCCCCACATGGGTCCCACCTAGGCATGCTGGCTGGGCTGCTGAAGGCTGCAAAAAAAGTGAGATTTGGTTAGAGGTCCTTCCAGCAGGACAACCTGAAACATGCGGCCAGAGCTTCAATATAATTGTAATGGTCCAGTCAAAGTCCAGAAATTCTCGAAATTCTCAAACAGCATTAGGTAAAAACTTTTGTCAACAATCTTTATACAATCTAATGGACTTTGAGCTATTTGTTTTTCAATTTTTCTTAATTTTAGTCTCTTGATTAGTAAAGCTAGTACAGACAAACCCACACAACAAAAGAGAAGCAAAGTGGGAGCCAGATTAAAAACTCAAAGATACGCATAAGAACAAGTGATGATACTAAAGATAAACTAGCAAATGCAGGTCATACAAAATGTACAACTACAGCTGAATAAATGGATGACATATTTCTAGATTTTTATTTGTAAGAGAAAATCAGATATTATGCATCACTTTCCTCCACTTCCTATGCATTTCCTTCTGTTGGTTTTGTTTATATCTCAGTGAGGTTTTGCTTCTGTAACAAGACAAAATGTGAAATATTTTGCAAGGCATTGTGTCTGAGAAGTAACCCACAATGCCTTGCATAAGTTTGTTTTTGTTTTTATTTTCACTTAACTCAGTCTGTAACATCTACTTCCTTCAGGACAGCTGGACATCCACACGTTGTTCTCTATAGATCCTAAGGAAGGCCTGCCATGGCGAACCGAGGGCCCAGTTACGGACTGAGCCGGGAGGTGCAGGAGAAGATCGAACAGAAGTACGATCCTGACCTGGAGCAGCGCCTGGTGGACTGGATAGTCGCACAGTGTGGAGGAAACCTGGAGAAACCGCAGCCGGGCAAGCAGAACTTCCAGACGTGGCTGATGGACGGAACGGTGAGCGGCTGCAGTCCCTAAAATAGACATACTTTGAATTATTTAAGATACAACATAATAGCGCTGACAGATATGAAATGGCTGCCACATGATGGCCAATTTATGTGCCCTCTTACTTATTACGCTTAATAACATTTTTTCTCAAGGTAGAGATTTAGAAAAACTGTTTTACTCACTAGTTTTATTCAAAAAGTAGAAAACCAGACATGTAAAATTTTAACCTGCAATCTGCTAAGTCTTTCTGTGCACATACTTAGGGATTTTCAGCATCTTAAGTGAAAAACGTTATTGTTGCTAAGACTTATTTTTTCTGAACTTCACAACAGGCTCTGTGCTGCTGTGTCTTTTAGCTAAATGCTGCAGATAAACCTGCTAAAACAAATCTTTCAGAAAAATCCATGAAAGCAAAAACCAGGGGGAAATTGGTTGATTTCTTCACAAAAATGCAGCCGCTTAGATAAAAATGCCTCCTTCTTACAAGTTAATTTAAGGTAGCATTATTATTATTTTTTTTTACATTTTTGGAGAATTTTAAATAAATTTCAGTTTAAAATGCCAAATTTAATGTCCTTTTGTACTCCTTCCTGAGGAGCAGTAAGTAAGTAAAACTTTATTTATAAGGCACCATTCAGAATAAGATTCACAAAATAAATCCAAATTTATGCAAAGGTAGATTTAAAAATATAGGTCTTTAGCTCTCCTTCATATGCGTGTTATTCTGGCAGAGATTTTAAATGTCAAGTAGCAAAAGTAGAAACTCTGCAGAACAACTGAAACCCTGTGAATTGCATTAGATACCAGCAAATACCCAGAGTCTCATCATGGCTTGGTGCCGAAGGTTCTGTTCGCAGGATGACTAAGGCAGACTTCTGTCCTTCCTCTGTAACAGATTCTCTGTCGACTCATAAACAGCCTTTATCCGCGGGGCAAAGAACCCATCAAAAAGATTCCTGAGACTCAAATGGCCTTCAAACAGATGGAGAAGATCTCCCAGTTCCTGCAAGCAGCAGAAGCTTATGGAGTCACAACCACAGATATTTTTCAAACCGTGGACCTCTGGGAAGGTGAGGAGATGGATGGATGGATGGATGGATGGATGGATGGATGGATGGATGGATGGATGGATGGATGGATGGATGGATGGATGGATGGATGGATGTGTAAACTGCATTTTTCAAGATTTTCCAGCGATCTAAATTTGGATTTTATTGAAACTTTATAGAACAGATCAGCACAAAGTTATGTTTAAGTTCGAAGTGGAAGAAAAAAAGTATCATTTAATCTTTTACAAATGAAATCTGAAAAGTTTTCTGTGCTTTTGTATTAAGCCTCTCTGTCAGTAGAGGGACCCTGTATTGCAGTCACAAATGCAACCCTTTAGATGCATGTTTCACATATGTAGCTTGATTTTTTTTTCTCATGTATCTTTACAAATAGCCCAATTTCACTCAGATTGAATGGAGAGGTTCGAACTTTAACTGAGCCGCTTTAATACAGTAGTCTCTGAGCTGTCCTGCTGGAAGGTGGATCTCTATTCCTAACAGTTGCCAGGTTTTCCTACCAGGACTGTCCTGCATTTAGCTTCATCGATCTTCCTAACAGTTTGGGTCGGCATTCCTGACCCTGCAGAAGAGAAACATCCCCACATCATGATGCTGCCACCACCATATTCCACAGTGGAGATGGCATTTTCAAATATCTAAGGGCTTCACAGAACAGCTGTATTTATATTAATATTAAATTACACACACTAAGACTCTTGTCTACTAATTGGGCGACTTCTGAAGGAAGTTGTTTGGAATGACTCCAAATGCATGGAACATTTTTCATTACTGAAAAACTGAAAACTCTGTCTCCATTCCATTCATTCAACTTGGCTCATCTTTGTGTTGGTATGTCATGTAAAGACTCAACAAAATATCAACAAAATACACTGAAAGTGTTTGAAAAATAACCGTACCTATGGACCCAATTTCCCCCAAAACTCTGATCATCTTCTCTATTTCTATTAACGAAAATCATTCCCACATGATGTTGCTGCAACCATATTTTATTATGCACGTTTTCTGTTAATTTATCTTCACATTTGGTGTTTTGCATGTTGGGCTTTTCTTTTTTTTTAGTTTTTCTGTTATCTGACCAGAACATTTTCTTCCACATGTTTGCTTGTTATAGGAAAAGACATGGCAGCAGTGCAAAGAACCCTGATGGCTCTGGGGAGTTTGGCTGTCACAAAGGATGACGGCCAATACAAAGGTGACCGAGACTGGTTCCACAGGTACGGAGAGAAAAAAAAACAACCTCTGAAAACATCAAAAACCCACCTTCAGAGTCCTCACACATGTACAACCCTCTTGTTGTACACGCACAGGAAAGCCCAGGGGTACAGACGAGAGTTTACTGAAGAGCAGCTGCGCCAAGGACAGAGTTTGATCGGCCTGCAGATGGGCAGCAATCGCGGCGCTTCCCAGGCTGGCATGACGGGCTACGGTATGCACCGTCAGATCATGTAGACCCCCCCCTCTAATCCTTGATCTCAGACTTTGTTTTTCTACTAATCCCACAAATGCTGTAGCCCTAAAATAAAACTCTCCTAAGCTTTGCCACACCTGCCATCTTAACCTCAACTTCCCTGTAATTGCTGCTTTTGCCCAACACTGTTTTCCTTTACTTCTTAATAAAATGATGTCAGCTACACTGCAGATTTATGACTTCATGCTTCTTCTGTATTATTCTCTCTTTTCTTTTGCCTTCTTACCTCCGTATTTGGTGAGACAATGTGTATTTTGTTTTTATTTAATTAACCACAATAAAAGCCATCTGTACTGTACACTTGTTTACAGAGATACTCGAAGTGACTGTTAAGGCATGGTGTATCGTTATTTATATATTTCCTATATTTTGGTGATCATAGACTATTCTGTTCCAGTGTGATTCTTTAGCCTTAATCCTAGCAAGGCTCAATCAGTGACGAAGTCTCTGTGGTTCTGCCCAAAGACTTGTTGCTGTTTCTTCTGTAACCAAATCAACCTCACGTTGTGCCTGGTTATGGGACTTCAAAGGCTGGGTCCTTGATCTGCTGGTATTAAATTATAGATGAGCGTCATTTGTTCTGAGCCATGCCCTCGTTTGTTATCTGTTCCATATTTGTTCATGCTGTGTCTAATATGTGCACGGTGCAACATGTGAATGTGCAGTAGCCAACACGTTTGACAATAAAAGGTTCATGGTGCCAGGTAAACATGTTGCTTTAATGTGCACTGTTTATGTGTGTTCTGTTTGTACTTTGGAAACCTATTTATATGTGGATGTGTGTAAGAAGGATTACTGGAAAAATAAAGTATGAATAAGCATTTTTTGTCTTCCCTGAGGTGAATACCATGTGCTCACTGCAAGCACTGAGTGTTTTTTCTCCTACCTTGGCTTTATGTTCCCGTTCCTCCTTTGCCGCCATCCTTATTGTCTCTGCTCACTGGGGGCAATCTAATAAAGTGTCTGCAGTACAGCGCAATTATTTGGATGCTGGTTTCTGATCCGAGCCAGAGTAACAGTAACCTTTTGTTTAGCAGCAGGAGTAGGAAATCAAATCTCTCAATGCTCTTCTAATGATGTTGAAGGCTCATCTTTCCTTATTGAAGGGGAAGGAATTGAGTCATTTGAGTGTATATGTTGCCAAAATCAAAATTACACTGATCAAAGACCTGGTTTAGAATTTTTTTAAGTTAATTTATAGAACTAGATGCTTTAATAGCAGGCCCCCGAGCTTAAAAGTTACACAAACATTTAATTCTAATTTGGAGAAAGAAAAGGAGGATGTTGTCCAAAAAATCTCAACTTACGGGGGTCAGTAACCAAAAATCTTTATCAGTCATTCATAAATCAACCAAGGAACACAGCAGGGTTTAAAACACCTTTAGGTTATAAAACAATATCTTATCTCAGAAGATCTGGAAATGGAACAAGTATGGCACAAATACAAAGGATGTGGAAATATTTCAGCCTGTACAAAGATAGTAGAGATATAACATACCCTGAAGTACTATCAGCTGTGAAATCAGGATGTGGTGGTTCTGTACATGGTACTGGCTCAGAGGGGCTGAATAGAGGTGCAGGCCACACTTTTCAGATTTTAGGTATAAGAAAAGTGTAAAAACCATGCATAATTTTTCTTTCATCACCTTCATACAGAACATAAAATTAAGGTTTGTGGTTGTAATGTGAAAAAAACTGAAACATTTTAAGTGCATAGGTATTTTTGTACATCCTGTAAACACATGAACGAAACAACACCTTGTTTTCACCTTCACCATGGGTGAAGGTGAAAACAAAGTAAGCAAAACCCATTGACACATGGTGCCATGATTGTTTGATATCAACAGGGAAAAGCAGCTTTAAATTAATTAGAAAAGCAGGTGGATTCAGGATGTTTTGACCACAGCTATCCATTGTTAAATACGTCTGATCAGGTTCATGCCAGCTGATCTTTGTGTTGCTCTTTCTTAATGCCCCATATGAAACCAAAACCCTGTTAGCACTGGACGAATAAACGAAGTCTAATCAGTGTGGGCCATCAAACCAAAAGGCAACAGCTTTTTAATCCAAAGGTCACTTCATACATCAGATCCTTTTAACTGTACAATGAATTAATATGAAATCTGCCAGTGAGATATCAAAGCGTGTAACTACTCGCCCAGGATTAATGTCTTATTTTCTCCTCTGCACAGACAGGCAGCTCAAGTGAAACTATTTGGTCCTCTCTACCTTCCTATTCTCAGACACTGAGCTTATTATTAGCCTCAGATGGACTAGAGAAGCATCTGAAGGGACACAGGCCATGCATAACTGATGGAGCACAGTCAATAACTAAACCATATACAGTGACCAATGAGGATGCACTTGTTAAGCTTTGCCCAGCCTGTGAGTTGTTGGCTTCTCTCATGCACGTTGCCACTGTTGCATGGAGGATCTCGGGGGTCAGCCTTTTGGGTAATAGAAGTTACTCCGTGCCATGCTTGAGCTTCTAAAAGTCTAAAGGCACAGTATGTGCAATGTCGCAGATAAGCTTTAGGGTTGCTCTCCTGCTCCTGGTCGTCAGATGCGTTGCAGAGGAAACAACACCAAGTAAAGGCTGCGTTTGTGGGTACCCTGGAATACCAGGCGATCCTGGGCACAATGGTTCACCAGGGAGAGACGGTAGAGACGGACTCAGAGGGGACAAAGGAGATCAAGGCAAGTTCAGAAGAAGACTTTTTAAAGGCATGACTGTAATGCGACTTAAGACATATTTGATAAAGTGGAATATGTGTTTCAATATATTATCATCGAAGTGTTGATTGTAAACATTTAAAAACATTTTTGTATTGATGTTTCGCGTAAAGGTGAAGTTGGCCCTTCGGGACCAGCCGGTACCGATGGCCTAAAAGGAATCAAAGGAGACACTGGTATGTATTAAAAATAACAACCTTGCAAAAAAAAAAAAAAAAACAACAATATATTTATCCTTTTTTTAAAGCATTACATTAAAGTATCTACCATTTACAGTGCCTTGCAAAAGTATTCATGTCCCTTGAAGAACAATTACAAACTTTAATGTATGTCATCATAATTTTATGTGGCAGACCATTATCAAGCAGGGTCTAAATTTGTAGAGGAAACTAGATAAATCATGAATGGCTTTCAACATTTCTTATTATAAAAATCTAAAAGTGTGTCATCAACACCTTCACAACATTTACTATAGAGGTAACCTGAGTAGTGAACTGCCAACACTTTAGAGTACTGCCTTTCACTGCAATTACAGCTGCATGTTTCTAACCAGTGTTGCACACCGAGGGATGTCTGCCAACAGCACCTTTCAAGTTTTGAAACAGATTCTCAGTGAGAGTAAAGTCTGGACTTTGACTGGGCCGTTCTAACACATGCACTTGCAGTGATCCACACCCATGTTTAGTCTTTTATAACCTCAAACAGCTTTTACAAGATTGCTCCGTATTTAGCTAACATGCATCTTCCCATCAACTCTCACCACTTTCCCTGTCTCTTCCGATAAAAAAAAAAAAAAAAAAAAAAACATCCCCTCATTATGACTCAGCCGCCACCACCATTTTCCACATGGTGTACTCAGGGTGCTATGTTTTTGTTGACATAAACAGCATCTTCTCTTGCCACTCTACCCTGAAGTCCAGATTAGTCAGGTTCATGGCTAATGGTTGTCTACAAATTATTCCACCAGAACTGATGCAAAAATTTTGAAAACGATGCTCCCATTTAAAAGTTACGTACGGCATTGTATCGATTTGACATGTAAAATAAAATAACAATAAAATACACATAGGCTTGTAATGAGTGTTGGTTTTCACTCCTATTTTTATTTATTTCTTTATTCAATCTCTCCAGGAGCTATTGGTAATGTTGGGCCTAAAGGGAAAAAAGGAGAAAATGGAGAAAAGGGGTCTCCTGGAAAAATGGGGCCCCAAGGAATACAGGGACCAATCGGCATAAAAGGAAGCAAGGGAGAACTTGGCTTGCCAGGACCCCAAGGACTTAAAGGAGATTTAGGCCCGCCAGGACCACATGGTCCAAAGGGGGAAATTGGCCTCAGAGGTGACAGAGGTATTCAGGGGCCACTGGGACCCCCTGGTAAGCCAGGGCCTAAGGGAGAATTGGGTGTGCCTGGTCACAAAGGCAACATTGGTTACCGTGGCGAAAGGGGTACTCGGGGTGAGAAGGGTGAAAGCGGCGAAAAGGGAGAGTCTCCTGTCATCCCCAAAAGCGCCTTCTCCGTGGGACTCACAGCGCGTAGTAAACTTCCACCAGCCAACTTTCCGATCCGGTTCGACAAGATTATTTACAACCAACAGAACCACTACGACTCACAGACAGGGAGATACACGTGCCCCGTAGCAGGCGCCTACTTCTTCACCTACCACATCACCGTCTTCTCCAGAAACGTGAAAGTGGCCCTAATGAAGAATGGGGTAAAAATCATCCACACCACGGACAACTATCAGACCAGCGAGGACCAGGCAGCAGGGGGCGCTGTGCTGCACCTGGATGTGGGGGACAAAGTGTGGCTGCAGGTGGTTGGAGGAGAGCTGTTCAACGGGCTGTTTGCTGATGAAGATGACGACACCACCTTCTCTGGGTTCATAATCTTTGGGTCCTAATTAAAGATTTTCAACAAAAATCTAAGATAAAACAAAATTTTGTGTTACTTCGATATAATTGTGATCCATGAAATTCATTTCATTCAAAAATTCAAAAATGGAGAAAAGGGGTTTCCTGGAAAAATGGAAATTATATTTCAAAGTAATTACAAAGTAATTACATTAAAATTAATTTGTATTTTGTTTCCATTATTTCAGACAGTAAACAGCTACTTTATCTATATATCGTCTCCTAAATAAAGTTGAAAGGATTTTTCAAATAAGATAAAAGTTATACAAGTGTAACTATTAGTTATTGTCTCACCTGAAGTTGCAAATAAAATACTCCCATTGTACGAAAAAGTTTTATGTATGTAAAATATGCATTTAATTAATTACCAAACTGAGTTTTCATCAAGTCATGATCTGTTAAATCCTACAAAATTACATCAAACTGTTCAGGAATTGTAAGTGGAAATTGGCATTTTTACTATAACCTTATATTATGCATGTGTCCTTTCAAAAGGTTAATGAAGTGTTGTACATTGTCTCTGTGCAAACAAATTAAAAACAGTATAAAGAGTTTACACATTTATTTCAGAAATACTGGACAGACATTTCCCAAAGAGTATCAAAAATGTGCAAGCCTATGAAATTTCCTAATTGAAATCTTTAATATTGTCCTGTGATTGTTTTAAGAATTGCTTTGATGTCCCCAGGACAAGGATGTACTTTCAGAATCCGCCAAAAAGATGTTGGACTTGTGGCCAGTTCAGTCACATGCTGCCTGTTGAACTAAGCTGGGCACCAGTGTTGCAAAAAATTTCACAAAAGGGTTTTTTATTTTTATTATTCTAAGTAAAATAGAGATAAGTCACAATCTCTAACAATGAATTTTAGACCTTGGAAACCAAAACAAAGCTGGTTGGGAAGGCAAACATTACACGTACATTATGAAATGAAACCCATCAGGAACAGAACATGCTGACTTTGTGGATTTAATGCCTCTGCTAACAGTGTTACTGTATAAAGGACAGTGACATTTTTCCTTTTGTGTATGGAAAACTTCTGAATTATCTGAATCATGGCTGGATCACAACACTGGAACATTATATGTGATTTTTGCTAGCAAAGAAATAGACAGAGCAGCTATGTTAAGCCATCTGTATCTTTTGTTTCTTCTTTCAATTGATTTTATTATTTCATAAAGATAGTCACATCCTATACATTTATTTATTTGCATTTGTTTGTTAATGTTTCATTAGTTTTTATTTTGGTGCCAGTGATGTCTCATTTTGGCTCTTTATCAAACTATTTCCAGTGGAATTGTTTCATACAGGTTTTCTCATCTGGCATGATCCTAGATTTGGAGTTTAAAAAACGTAAACATGAGTTTATTAAATGATTAATCAGACAACAGGAATGTCTGGATGGTATCTTGTGTCTAACCTTTTTGTTATCTTACAATATAGAACAATCGCTTTGTTTCTCTCTGTGGAATTTAGGGATGGGCATGGAACAGAAATGTCCATGAATTTAAATTCCACTGGTGTGATTCAGTGACATGACGCGAGAAAGCCAGGACAAAACCAACTGGAAAGCCTAGTCTTTTTTTTGTCCTACTCGTGTGCAGGAATTGTGGAGTACCAAAAGTGCCCCAGTTTAATAAATTGGTAATTTGTAACATTTTGCTTACATACTCCTAATATGTCAAAATCAATACATTAACTAAACAGTTTAATTTATTAATTTTTGTTTAAATACACTTATAGTGTAACACAAATCTAATTCTGTGAAACATGCAATTTGTGTTTTACAATTTTGCCTGTGAAACTAGTTTCCAAAATCACATTAAAGAAAAAACAAAAACAACAAAAAACAAAGAGCTTTTATATATTAACATTTGAACTATTACACAGTGAATTACGGATAAAAAAAAATAGAATTCATACTGATAAGTATTACAACTTTAGTGGGACACATCTGTTTGATGTGATTATCATGATTTCAAAAACAAAATATGAAATTTTAATATTAAGTTATGAACCGCACAAATTTTCTTATTATATATATATATATATATATATTTTTTTTTTTTTTTTTTTTTTTTTTTTTTTTTTTTTTTTTTTTTTTTTTTTTTTTTTTT